CCCAATAAAAAACTTCTGTCTACTGGACAACCGAACCCGTGTCTGTCGTTTTCTGACAATTGTAAACTTCACTCTAAACTCACAGTATCTAAACAGGATGGTGTCAACATATAATATACTAAATATCATTAAAAGGAGGGTGCCTCACCCAAAACCTGGATAATCCTGGAATCCTGGAGCATGGAATTTCCACAAGAAGCTTGAACTGTAACTCTGACTTTGCCTGCTTCAGCAAAACTGGTTACCAAGAAATTTTCCAGTGAAAGAACTGGCTAAAGAAAAGGGAGTAAGCAATGAAGAGAAAATAAACGTGAGCCAAAAAGTTCCAAACTGAGAATATTCATCTTCATATTTGGGGTGATTAAAAGCTTTGACAACAGTGATGTCTTTTCCCCATAATTTGAACATTCACTAAAATATCACAGGCATCAGTGAAAATTAGGGAACATATGTGAACTTTGTCCTCAGAATATCTATTCTGTGAAGCAAAAATATGGTTACTAGCAGGCCGCCACCATCAATTGTTCTGCTGCCTGTATTGACTGCTAGTATTGAGGAAAAAAACAGCCCTTTCCATTACAAAAGAAAGAAAAAAAAGACAAAGGAGGATGAAGAAAAATAGCAACAATGCTGATAAATACTAAAGACTGATATAATACCTTTTATTTAACACCTCAATGGGCTTCAATTATGGAAATACTCATTAGAAACAGAGGTCATTTCTCTTAGCAATGAATAACAAAGATTGTTCCAGTATGTCAACAATTAGGGTGAAGGATTCAAAGCCAGGAGGCTTCATTTCTAGTTATCTTTGAACCAGAATTCTATTGTTTTTAAAAACACATTTTATTTATCAGGTTTACTACCTGTCACAAATAATTTACTTGGTAGTTCACAGCAATGAAACATAAAAAATAAAATATCCATGGTAAAAATTATAATTACAAAATCATAAAATCATACATCCCAAAGTCATTAATCTTAAGTGTCATGCATCACTACGATAGGCCATCTGGAACAGCTCTCTTTTCAATAGTTTTTGAGAGGCCAAAAATTAAGCCTAAAATGAAATCAAACAACAGATGCATAGATTCCATTTAAGTTTGCAACTATGATACAACATAGGAAGTACAGTTTCTTAATTTTGTTCGATCTAGCCCATTTATGTGCAACTCTGCACAGGCATGCCTCCACGAACATACAGGATACCTATAGGTATGTGGATACCTATCTATCCACTTTTTCCAAATGGCAGCAGACATTTTAGATATTTTCAATGAAAGGAAACCTTTTTCCTCACAGCAAAAAGGTTTAAAATGTGGTGAAAATCCCACTCCTTCAAATTTCAGTATTGTCTACTACCTGTTAGCCAGAACAGAACAGAGGAGTATTGATTCCAAATATATGAAAAGTAAACAATATTATTATTATTATCAATATTAATATCATTGTATTATTATAATGAGTAAAAAATAAAATATTGAACTCTAATGCAATTCATGATTTCATTTAGATGAAAATAATGTGTTTTCATAATCCTCATTTATATCTACCAGCTTCTACTAGTCAGTTTTTCAAAACTGGAAGAAACATAGCAAAAACTCTTTCCTTGAACAACTCCCCCCCTTTTAAAAAAAAAAATTGATGACCGGATGCTTTGCCTGGCAGAGTCCCAAACCTATTTGGTTTCATGAATCCCTTTGGTTTCAACATTTCTAAGAGTTCTGAAGAGGGGGAGATGGCCGGTTGCCATAGCTCCCAAGCACATGTAGTTTTAAAACAAAGAAGCAAGTAGAAGCAGGAAGCTTATGATGGGAACCAATTCCAACTGGAAGAAAGTCTCTGAATCTGCCAAGAGATTCCTACTTGAACTGTCTACAGTTTTTCTCTGTTGTAGATGAAGGGCATGTGAATGTCTGATAATGATACAGATGTTCCGATACTGATTTCTCCTTGGGCAACAGAATTGTACACAAGAAATAAAGAGACTCCTGTATTAATCTAGTTGTCGGAGACTGCAGAGTGGAAATCTTGAGCTGGAGTTAGACACAATCAGAAATCAATTTCTCTCATGGACTCTAAATCACCCTATCAAATGTTATATTCCTCACATAAATATGTGCCAGTATGATTTATTTTTCACAATGCATGTGAAAGAGAACCATCTGATAGCCATACTTTCATGAGTGAAAATGCTTCCATTAGCAACATTAAATGGAATTGAGTATTGAGACTAATGCTATCAGTACCAGGACAGCCTTCAGTATTGACTACTATTAGCGCCCTACATCAATAGAGCTGAAATAATCAAAGGAAAGGTCACATGCACTTAGGAGTGCTGCCTGAACTGCTAAAAAACTACAGATGTTGTGGCAGAGAAGTGGGGAGCTGGCTGGAGAGTAACAGAAGGCAAACCCCAGACTCTCCAGAGGTGTAGATAACTGAGGTTTATTCTCCCCAGTCCCTTGAGAATTCAGGGGCAGGATTTGAGAACAAAAACAAACACTTTGGCGTCTCCATAGTCCAAACTAAAAAGTCAAAGTAACATTCAAAATAAAATGTCTACCCAAGGAGGTAAACTGTTATGGCAGTGGCATTTTGAGGCTTGTTCTCTTGCTGTTACACCAACAGTGTCAATACACCTGCCAGCCTTAGCCCTGGGTGTATAAGCAGCTCCTTACTTGTGTAGTCTCTGCCCCCTTTCCTTCTTTCTGAGGAAGGCTTTCCAGCCTGAGGAACCATCTCGCTTCTCTGCCAGGACAATAAGTTGCATCAAGGTCAGGCAGTGTAGAAGGGTGAACAAGTTTGTTTATTCAGGTCTGATAAGGGTAATCCAGAAAGTGCTTTCTCTGCAGGCTTCTCTTTGTTGTCCTCTGGCATTGGCTTCTCCCTCAACCTTCTTCTCTAACTCCTAGCCCTGCTCCTTTATCAGAGCAGCCTTTATGCTCAGTTCATACTGAGACTGCAGTTGTGGTTTATTACCAACCATGTCTTTTCCCAGCATCCCACTCCAGTTACCAAGGGCAGACACGCTAATATGTGCAAATGTGAGCACCCCTGTGTGCCTCAAAGCATTTTTTTCTTGTCTGTATCCAAATTACTTTTCTTATTCTGACTTACTCATTTATTTTTCATATCTGAAGTCATCAATGTAGTAAGCCCTTGTAGAAACACTGACAGCCAAGGGTGGTTGTAAACTAACTGGTAATGAGTAGTATTATAAACTAGTGTTATAAACTATTAATTCAAGAAATCCAATGTTTAAAAAGTATTTTTTGTTATCCTTGTATAATTCTCTTTTGATGCATTAATCTGAAAAAACTATCTGCTGAACCTTATAAGCTTTGAACATGGAAGGTTATTCCTACTTTTTATCGACAGATTGTCCCACTGAGTTGCTTGAGACAGATATAGAATCATTACTTTGTGTGGGACAGGGTTGCTGATTTATCAAAGATGGATAAGAGAGATAACTCAAGAGTAAGTACTTCCCATCTCATTCTTAGTTCTTCTTATGGGCTTCCCTTCCAATAGGCAGACATCCGATTCTGTAAATATCTTTAGGTATCTACTGATTAAATAATTCTAACTCTGCATTCTGACTTCTCCTTTCTTCAGAAAGTGATGTCCAGATTCTGCATTAGTCAGACCCATCTTTTTCCCATTCCCCAAGACACTTCTGAACTCTGTATTACACAGCCAGGAATTTTGTCCATCTCTTTTCACAGAATAGACAAAACTACCAAATACAACCTAAGTGACACTACAAAGCACCCTCCCAACTATTGCTACCATTTCACTTGTTTATGAGTTCACCTATGATCCTAAGGCCCATTCTGTAAAAGAGGTGGGATCCTCAATAATAGTCCAAAAGCTTTGTTTGCCAGGCATCTGCAGAAAGACCGGGTAATCCCAGACATTTTTCTTCATATGGCATTACTCATGATACAACCTAGCCACAGCTGATGCCATTTTCAGGTGAGGAGCGCTATATTTGAATAAATTCTTGCCCTACTATCAGTGAATAAAACTTGCTGATCACCAGTATGTGTGATGCACAGAGATACTGAAGAAGACAAGACTCAGATCTATAATTGTGGCTCTTTTTTTAATAGCCTATAATGGGACACCCAAGGTAGCTTGGTGGGTCTATCTTGAGCCTGCTTAATAAACTCACCACTAAATTATGTCAAATTATGTTCTGCAGAGATGCAGAAATTGCATGTGTGAGTGCACACATGGCCACTCAAAGAACCTCAGTTACAGCTAAGCAATTTGTTTTTTTCACTGAGGCTGAAGTGCTAAAGTGAATATAGAGGAAGTATATCAAACCTTCAAAATAGTTAACAGTAAAAGCATAGTTTAAGATCATAAAACTGGTTATTTTAAGATACTGAAATAGCATGTAAAAAAGCTCAAATGCTGGAAAAATCATAGGTAATAATAACTATTCAATACCTGAAGATTGTTTCCAATCCACCAGTAAAAAAGTGTAAAGTTAGAGTTCTTTGGCAGGATGATGGCTGTCAGATTCACCTCCTGGTTTCTGCCAATAACAGGAACTACTTCAAGATGTAAAGCCTGCAGTGGAGCTGGAAAGAGTCCCAACTGTTAATTAAAAAGCCATTGATTTATCAAATATCTTGTGCTTTCAAATACTTCTTCTAAAGAGGCACTAGAGTGCTCAGGGATATCTCTTAAGCTTTTCAAGCAAATTCAAGAGAAAACCACCTTCTCAAGGGATTGAATTAAAGCCATCAATTCCTTATATCACTTTTTATTGCTCAACAGAAAATTAATGATAGTAATTCTCATTGCAAATTAATTTGTCTTGAATATTTAAGACTTGTTGAAATTTTAATTAAGATATGTCTTTTTTAAAGTTGCATTTATTTTATTTGGAAAGCTTAAATGAATATTTACATTCCTTCTAAATCAGGAATGGGAAACCTGAAGCTAATGGGTTGTGTGTACATATTAGAGAGAAGCAGATAGCACAAACATCTAGGATTCTGGTGCAGAGTAGATCACTTTTAAGATTACAGGGAAGAGTGAGCTCTTCAGTTAGGGAACAGAAAGGCATCCAAGCACTGGGAACAAGGAACTGTGTAACCTCTGAACTTGTCTGACCAAGTATACGGAAGGCATTATATTTGCATTACTTACACTGAGGACAATGCTGCCTTCTTGGGGGCAGACCTTGTTAGCTGCAAGTTGCATAAGCTGCAGAGACTACTTTTTCCTATAAATATTGTTGCAGGCTACATGTGGCCCGTGGATCATGAGTCTAAGCCACTGATCCTACAGTTTTTATGGAGAGATTCCCTGTACAATAAAGCCCCTTTCATGTGTGAAGCCCTGCTACTGTATATCACTATTTTTCCCAAATCCAATTGTTACTCATTGTTGACAATACATTTATTATGAAAACTATACTACATACATTGACACATAGTGCTGTAAGTGCAGGATAAGTAGGAGGTGTTAGACCAATTACAAATGCTTTCTATCTATAGCTTTGCAAGTCTCAGGCTTTAGATGCTGCCATTTTCAAGCAACTTTCCCCCCTGGAATTCCACCAACTATACCTGAACCATCACATATGCCTTTGACTGCACTGAGATGAATAATCAATCAATAAATGGCGTCCTACCAACTCTCTTTTGCTGGGACTGCTCTTACTGATCTTCCTTTTCTCAGCACCATTGTGCTCTTCCTCCAAACAAGAAGCTGACAGATTTTATCCCTTCACCTTATCCACAAAACCAAAAGTTGAATCCATTCTCATTAGTCATAGTCGCATATACAGCAAGATTAAATCACCAGTATTCAATTATGCATCGAAGCTGTAATTACCCAAAACAACAACAGAAGCAGTACTAGCAATCTTGAGAGAAAATAGTGTTGGTTGGTTGTCATGAAAGCAGGTCAGATGTCATCTACACTGTCTTCAAAACTAAATTTAGGCAGAACCCTTTAATACAGTATATCCCTGCTAAGTCAGTATATGAAAAGAAACTATGAACAAAATTCAGTTTAGTGGAGGTAGAAGTTTTCCCAACTTGGTCAGACAAATTCATGGATCTGTAAGCTGCACAGTTTACTCACTGAAAGAAAAAAACTTACCTTCAGGAGATTTTATGCACGTTTTAGTTTATCTCTGATGATTCAGCTGTACCAAAAAGGGTGAGGGCAGAGTTTCTGCTCTACTAATTTTGGGTACCAGTGAATGTAAAAAGCAACGATGCATCACAGGGGTTGGTGTTCCATTTTTTTTATCCTGAAGCCTACCACATCCCTTCCTTTACAACTAGGATGAGCAACATACTAGATCAACTTTCAGTGTTCTACTACACTGTTGATATACCGGATAGAACTGGAATCCATTTATGGACATATCTTAAATATATTTTATGATTTTGATTATTGCCAAGGTGCATTCAAAATGCATCCCTCCTGTTTCTCAACATAGATTTGTTTTGTGTTGATAACAATAGCAGCCAGATGAATAAATTGAGATCAGAAAGTAATTTCCACTCCAGAGGGACAAAATCCAACACTCTGTTGACTGTTAAAAAGCTCCAAGAATGAAATATGTATTCTACTGTAGATTGCTAGCTATTTTTATTATGGTATATACAAATATAACAAATAAATAAATGAGCTAGTACCAGACTAATACTGCTACAATAATGAGAATGAGAAAAATGAAGTAAAACTTACAATGAACCTGAATAAATGTAACTGCTTCATCTTGGCCAGCAGCATTCTCTGCCACCACAGAGACACGATAAACCCCAGGATTTTCATAATGGTGTTGAAAGGTTTCACTTATCAATGTCAGGTTCATATAATTTGCCTTAATGCCATCTCCAAAGTTCACTTGGTATTTGGTGTTTAAAGTATCTCCCTATGAAAACCAAGAACAAAGAGAAAAAATCTGGTGTATGACAAAAATGGACAGAGGGAAACAATCAAAACTACATATCAAATTACTGATACTGCCAGCTCTGAAGATTATTGCTTAGTACCAACAATACAATCAACTGATGGTTGTCTCTGTTCCATCAGAAGCAGACATCTTTCACAAGCTACATTAAAAGTATTTTAAAATCCATGGTAGCTCAGCTGGGACTGAATCATTCAAAGTAGGGGGGGATGGGTGCAGAAAAAGAAAAGTAACATAGACAATTTGTATATGTGAAACCTGGATTTATGATGCTGCTCTAGGCTCTTGTCTTTGGAGGATTAACCCTCTTTTTGTTTGCATGAGAAGAACTGGTCAATTTAAGGTAAGGAACCTTAGAACGTACCCAGGGTACTTTGGGTGTTTGGGGGATGTTATATAAATGTTAACAAGAATTATGTATTTGTTTTGAACAATCCATGCTTGGACCATATAAATCTAATACTAAACTCTGAATCAGTAGAAAGTATTAAAGAGCAGCCTTCCTCTGATACTTATTCCTCCACAGTTTGGAAATTCTACTAATTAAAATTGTTACGCCACTCACATGTTTAGAGCTGCCATTTGCATATACGGAGTGATTGTGTCCTCTCCAAACTAGATCTAAAGTGGTTTATGCCATGCTAAAAAAGATATACCTCCTCTTCTAATAACATTAAAATCCAAATCAGCTTCTTGCATGCCTAGTTTGCATCATGCTGTAACCACTCTTTCTGGTTTAATACATGCCCCATCAAGCATTACCAGGTTCACCAAGAAATTTCACCTTGGTAACAACCCTGGCAGTGATTTTGGCATCTGCTGAGGAAGAAAATTGGCCTCAACACCTGTATCTGAGTTGATACAGTCTGCTGACTGAGACTGACTTGATTGCACATGTTTTTGCCAGAGCATTTATTACACACAGTGCCAAACACTGAGCAACTTCTTGGGGCCTGAGCTTTTCCACAACACTTGCATGTAAACCTATTACTGGTCACTCCTACTAGAAGCTTTCTAGCTGTTGACTTAGCCAGAGATCTGTGGATTTCTGGTTTTGGAGGTACCCTAAATTTGCATTTGAGGTATCAAAGCTTCTTTCACCTTTGCTGTATCTACTACTTTTTTCAAGATGAAGTAACACTCTCAACATTCTCCGCAATCTCTACCTGCGCATGTACTGCACACAATCCTGTTCTTTATAAGCAACTCCAAATTCACTATAACAAACAAATCAACAGTCTCCTCCATCCCTTAGGTTCTGGTAAAAAACATAAGTACTTCAAAAATAATGCTTTTCCTAGCAACAATATATGTGGCAAATGCTTTTATTATTATTTGCAGTTTCTGCTTATCTACCTCTGTGTAAACTGAACGCTACTATAAATCTCTCGTGCCTCTTTGCCAGCAAAACAGAAAAACAAAGCACACTGAAGCCATTCTTCTCTTCACTCAGACCAGCTGGCAATCAGATACCACTGAAATGCTTGAAGCCATTCACTCCAATTCTGCAGTGTTTCCTGCTATTACCAGGCTGCCAAGGGCTGGCTATGTGGCCACGTAGGGTTCACTCACTTCTGATACCATGTAGCATTTGCTGGCCCAGCTCTACCTGGAATCTGGGCTCCCCAATTAAGTCACCTCAAGTAGTACCTGAGTCCTTTTATTCACAAGAAGATAGCCATAAAACAACAGTAGCACCACACAAAACGGATGCAGTCAAATATACGCGCGCGCACACACAAACACAAAACATAAATTAGGCTTTGGGGGCTGGTCTAACAGGCATCTGTCAGCTAGTGACTCCCCCTAAAGTAATAATACCTCCTGCCACAATAACTGTACCCTGGAAGTTCTTATCAACATTCAGTTATGAATGCAGCTGCATATTTCCCGTGATCTTCCAAGTAAGATGTACTCCTGCTTTCTGGGGAAAGGAAAGGATTAAAATCTTCTTCACTAATAATAATTTAAATTTTGGTACCCGCTAACTGTCCTGTGGTTTCGCTATTTCCTGCTAGAGGAAGTTTCTTGATTACTGACACTACCTTCTGCTATCCCTGGATTATTTCATTCCTAGGGAAGAAAGAAAGTCCTCAGTGATTCATATACCATCTCATGCTGCCAAAGCAACCACTTCAGTTTCATACTAATATACATCACTGTCATGCTAGCCTGCTGGATAGTAACAGACTATAATATAGCTCCCATCTCCCTCTTGTTCTCGTTTCAGTGGAAGAAATAAAATGCTACAGATGCCTAAGGCTTGTAATTCCCACCATAAAAAAAAAGCGGGGGGGGGGAGCTGCATAATACTTATAGGAACTTAGCTTTGGAAAAAAAGATTGTGAAGTAAGAGGAGACTAATGAGACTGTCTGAGGATGATTGAGGGGAATATTTCAAGTCTCCAAACAAAAAAGACCAGTTTCTTCCTAGCACAAATAAAGAGTGGGCAAAGAGAAGTCAGCAGAGAAAGAGAAAGGGAAAAAAAGTCAGTTGCAAGACAAAGTACTAGTGCAACCCTGCTTTCAGGTTAAAATGACAATTACATTTTTCCTGACTTCTATGTCATTCCATAGATGGGAAATTCCAGTAATACCTGATTTTGTTTGACAACAAAGGTGACATATTCTCCTGGCTTAATGGCAAGGCTTTCCCCTTTAATGCTGATCTGCAATCCTTTGGGAGCAGTCAGTGGACACACGTGTTGAGAAGAATTTTTCTGTAAATCCACACCTCCTTTACATACATTAGATATAACTTTACGGTATCTGTAGAAAGAAGTAAATGGAGAGCATATCTGAGTGAGGGACACAACTGAACAACAGATACAGAAAAGGCTATATTCATGCCTTGGAGCAATGACTTAGTTTGGATTCAACCCTCTATGTTCACATAATATGCTTAATCAAGACAAAAGCAGAGTATGTAAAAAAGCATACACATATATACATACAAAAAACATACAAAATCATACTCATATAGCTCCTGGCTGCTAGGATGGGGGCCACAACATGCTGGATTGCAAGGTAATCTCTAAAATAGAGATGCTAGGTTCCATAAAATGACATGAACATGCTTAGGGTAAAACTGGGTTTTGACTGGGCTTAGTGGCACACTGGCCAAAATATGCTAAAAATCTGATACTGTCCCTACTATTAGCAGGGAAGTCTGCATGTGGCATGGGTCTAAGGCTAGTAACCTAGTCTATACCTTCTCTATATTATTAAAAAGCACTATGTGAAAGTCTTGATTTAACCACAGCCACAACAGGCAGTGTCATCTGTGTTGTTGTGGTTTGCGTATGAAAATTGAAATCCATAGGCTGGTGATAATGGCATGTTATGCTCCAGTAAATGGTGATAATGAAAGAATCAGGGTGAGTTTTGAGAAAAAATGTGCAAGATTCCAGATGAATGCAATCCAGAGAAAAATTACCTTAGCGGATTGCACAAATGGATAAGTAACTATGATATGAAAGACATCCTGGCATTTAGAGATCCAAAGATTAATTAGAGTAATGATGTTTGGTTGAATACCTTAGAAAAAGTCTGTTTCATACATATGTATGTCTGTTTAAGCATATCTCTTCATATGTACACGTGGCACAGGAATGAATACAAATCTAAAAGCATTATTATTTGTGATGAAGGAGTGAGGGAATCAATGAGGTATGCAAGGGTGATGAGAGGTTCTGAATATGGGACACTATTTTTGATTGTGTCAAGAGTGGATTTTGGGGGGAAATGAATGTGGAAAAAAGGGAAAAAAGGGAAAGAAGCAAAAATACAATGACTTTTTCTCATCAGGAAGACAAAATACCTGTCCAGTATGAAAAAAAATTAGAAGACAAATTAATCTATAAAAATAAATAAATAATTTGGAAGTGGACATAAGGAAATAGTATGTGGAAGCTGCTTAGAGTGAAAGAAGTACTGTATATTACAGAGTGCCACAAAAGTGTACGCAATTGAAACTATGGAAAAAAGCTGCTGAATGGAATGATGAAGCAAAAGAGACAGTAGGTGTGGAAAAATGCATACAAGAGAGAGCTGAAAAAAATGAGGAAGAAAGTTATTGTATAATGTGTAATGAGAGAAAAAGATAATTGCAAAAAATGTAATCAAAGTCCACATTTAAAAGAAGCAAAGGAAATACATAGCAGGTTTGATGGATATAAAAATTTGTTTGGAAAGTAGATGAAGAGGGATAAACAAACTCCAGTAGAGTGAATGGAATTGGAAAGGAACTGAAATTAAAACTATAAATGGTAGCATCCAAGAAAAAAAAACATTTAAAAAAGTCGTGAATTAAAAAAGTCGTGAAAGAAGATAAGGTTAGAGATATACATGGTAAACTGAAGAAATGTATATGGTTGTTTATGGAGACTAGTTTAATGTATGTGTGATCAACAATTGGAGGAATGTCATTATGGTTTCCCCTATAAAATGAGAAAAGTAGCTGGTGAATGCAAAAATTACAGGGTAATTAATTTGTTAACTGCCTGGGAAGGCAGAATTCTGGTTGAAAAAGTCCAAGAGACAGCAATGAGCAAAATTTGGGAAGTGCAGGGCAGCTTTCTCTGAAGATCAACTTTTGCTCTTCAGCAGGCTATGGATGTGAGAAGCTTACATTACTATCTTACAATGGTTGATGGTTGATAGAAACTGAGTTAAGAATGAATAGGGGCTGAATGAAGATGGATTGAATACAAAAGCGAGTAACCAGTATGAAAGTACATTGAGGTGGTTTGGTCACATACAGAAAATAAAGACCAAGTTGCAAAATAAATATACAAAGAAAGAGTGAATGGGTTGAGAGGAAGGGGAAAGAGAGAAGGCGTAGCTGGGTAGGGTTGATGAGAAGCTCAAAAAGAGAGAGGAGAGAACTTTAAAGAACAGCAGCAATTTATAAAGCAATGTATAATGTATGGGCGTATTAAAAACAAGGATAGAAAGCATGGAGAGATACAGTGAATGCTGTTGGTATGTGCTAGCTTTAGCTAGGTTTCCTTTCCTTTTTATTTTCTCATGCCTTTAATTTATTTAGCTTGCTATTTCTCACTCTTTTACTGCACTCTGTTTAACACTGCTTACCCCAAAAGAAAATGGTGGGATGAGCACGTAAAGGTATATATTTTCTGTGTACTTGTAAAATTACCTGTATCTCCTACAGGGGCAATTTTAGAACAAAACAGTACCTGGGCAATTGTAAGTGAAACTACTCTTTCCCAACCAACCATGTTTTGTGTATTATTTAATCATAATAGTTGGTATACTGCCCACTACCAAAGTCTCTCAGTGGTTTACAACCACTGGGCAGTATTTAAATTCTGCTTACTTAGTCCTGCAAAGAAAAAAGATGGAGGTGTGCAGTAATTAATAATACAAGGCACTCCAATTAAAACATTCACTGTGAAGGCTTGGCAGGGTCAGAACTCATCGCCCAAACTGGCTGTACTGCCAACTACAATTCCAGTGTTGGCTGTCTGGGTAATGAAGAAAGAGGCACTCATGTACTGCAGCCTTGCCAATACTCTCCCAGCGCAATGATTCAGGGCATGCAGAAAGCAGACTGAAAGCCTACATTTCTCAAAATAGCAGCCCTTGACCTGCTTAGTATGATTGTGCGCTGCCAGATCCACCAGTATGGCAGTGCAACTGCATCCTTGCTGACAATGTTAACTATCTTTCACAAAAGCGGCTTCAGTGTCATCAAAGTGGTGGCTAACAGAGATTCTAGAGGTAATGTATCTCTAAAAATTGAGGAACAACCATCAAGGGAAAATGGTATGCGGACACTTTTCACATGAAACATGTTTCAAAAACCAAAATACTTTATTAAATTAGAAACAGATAATAGTTTTTGTCCCTGAGTACCATATTAGCAATTTAGAAAGGAGATTGATACAAGGCAGAAAGGAAGAACAGAGCTATTTTTCACAGCAAAATATTGTTCACTTACTTACCCTGTGCTACTTCTATAGGACTGCCCTGCAATACAGTCTTCAGGAGGGGCTTTAGGGTTAAACCAAAAGTCAGCAAAGCATGTGCTGGGCTCTGATTTTGGCAGTGAACGTTCAAATCCATAATCACTACAGAATAATAATAACAAGTAGGTATTTGATAGATATATCTTTAGTAGGAATTTTTCAGGAGTTGCAATAATGTTTAAAAAGTTATTAATATTAAAAATATTAAAAATAGTATTTTTACTGTATGTGTAACTGTAATGTGATTATAGCTGAAACAGTTTGCACCCCTTTGGATGGTACATCTTTGGGTTCCATAACTCTCTTGGAAAGCCAAAATAGTTAATAATGTTGCCCAGCACCATAAGCCTAGGAGACTCCAATATAAACTCCAAACCAACTCTGTCACCTCAGCCAGGAACTCTGTATTCTATCCTGAAAATTAAGGAATAAATGTGTGTGTGTCTATGTGTGTGTATGCATTGAGGAGGATGTAATCAGATGGTTGAGATCAAGAACACAAAGGTCAGTCTATAAATTCACTAGGTAAAAGAAGGATCCAATCCAATCTGAAAGTTACAAGCCAAGAGGATGATACTATAGGGGTTGGACAAAAAGTATGGTCAAAGTAGAGGTGAGAAATCTGGGTATGGGATTGAGAAATCTAAGTTTGGGGAAAAGGTTGAGAAATTGAGGTACAGAAGACAAGGTGGGCTGGTACCAACACTAGCTGTGGTAAGTAAACTCACTTTCTAGGAGTGCCTTCATGGTCCTGACAGCTGAGCTCAGCAGGTGCTTCTTAGCATTCCACTTAGCATCAACTTTCAATGAGTCCCCGTTACAAAAACCAACTTTGTTCTCTCATGCATGGCAAATAATGATTAATGGTACAATAGTTTAGTCAATTTCATTTACAAAGGAACACAACCTCTCTGGGAGGCTAGAACATTCCACAAGACTGGAGAGCATAAGGGCAATTGGAACGGAAATAGGTCTTGAATTTCTGACTTTCTTTCTTTTGTTAAGGACTGCTGTGACGTCCAGCTTAGATTCAGACGAAGAAAAGAAGGTCTAATATAGATAGAAAATCCCTCTTGAAACATAAAGTTCCTCAGGCTATCTCCAAACAGCAGACTCAAGGGGGGCAGATGCTTCTGGCAATCAGCCTCGGTGGCCACTGTAATAAACCTGCTACCAGCAGCTGTGCTGGCAGCCACCCAGCTCTCTCATGGTCCACAAGGTCCTATTCCCAGCCAAGGCAGATTCTTAATATAGAGATATAGGCATATATAGTAATTCAAGCTATGTGGGATCTTTTTCTCTAGATATTGCCACCTTTGAAAACTGAATATATGTTTTAAGTGAGTAGGATTTTTATCAGTTCATTGCATTAGATTTAATAAAATGTAATATGCAAGAGGTGAAAGGATAAAGAATGCTTTATTGATGAAATGGAAGAGAAAATATCATGAGCACAGAGTATACTCCAAGAGAATTGGAGTTTCTGCATTGCTTAAAAATTCATCTCCAGGCGCAATTCAAAATGAGAGATTTGATACTTTGCAAACAGAAACACACAAGTGCAATTCCTGGGCTGTCCACCTTCCACTGAGAAACATTGTGGTCTAAAATCTTTTTTACCTTTAAAGTCCTAAAAATTGAGCTGATATAATAACTTTTGGGGTAGCTCATCCCACATATTCATGCAGATTAATATCCCCAAGCCTGTTTTCTAGTTTTGCCATCTTTAAGAAGTGAGCAGGGCAAGCACACGAAGTCATCATTTTCAATAATGACTTCACAATGATATCCTTCTGAAAGAGATTCCCCTGGCTCAACCTGGTCATTTTTTAGTGGAACAAGTTAGTGTTTATTGCTATTGAATAAAAATTTTCATTGTTATTCTACTGAAGTTTTTTTCAACTGTTCTGTATAAAGTTTAATATCTATTTGTGAACTGTCATAGGGATTGTTTTGGGACTGAGAGATGGTGCATGAAGTGTCATAAAATAAATAATGAAATGTTGGCTATTCTCCCTTTCTCTTTTGCAGAGATAACTGTTCTCTTTCAAAGAAATAAAAAAATACAATTTTTGTTTAAAAAATATGGATTTTTCAGTATGTCTATACATAACACTAACAACTCAGCCACATTAAGAGAGAGGGGGGAAGGGAGAAAAACTTACCATAAGAAATCAGAAGAACTACATTCACAAACTTTAGAAGAAAGTGCTGACATAAAGTTTTTTCCTTTAATACACCATGATGAATTCTTTCTCTTCCGAAAGGTTCTCTGTTGGCCCATTATGCAACGGTCACCCTGAATATTAAATGTTAGCTCTCATAACTACCAGATAAAAGTGTTACACTGAATCACACGCTTTACATTTGTAAATTAAAGCCTTATGTTATTCGACTAATTTTCAGAATTCAGTAAGAATTGTCAATTGAGTTTTAGGTATAAAATCTAATAAGTGTTTCACATGCAGATTGCATGAACTGATCTTTCTAAACACAAATTGATTTCTTCCTTTTTCCCATTTCTTGTATCAATTACAAGGATGTGTTTTGTGAGACTGAAACACACAATGTCTATTGTAAGAAAGCTTAATAACACATCTTAACATTTGGTATAGAAAATATAGCAATGTTTATAGACCTATGCCTATAAGGGAGAAACAAATTAAAAGGCTAAAACAAAATGACCAATCTTATATTTTGTAAACAGAAGACCACAAACTCAATTCCTGGGCTGTGCAACTTCCACTGAGAAACATTCTGGTATGAATCTACACAGAGCTATTTCTAGCGTAAGCAGTACTGAGCCAGACTCAATATAGGGCATCTTTCGTTCACTTTCAATTAATCTGAAATCTTATCTGATTCTACCAAACAAGTCTAAATATGATTGTGCCTGTTGCTCAACCCATCCTTCTATTCCTTTGACTGCTATATAAAAAAGAAATTCTCCATGAGTTTTGTATCTTAAAAATATCTTGATCCATTAGTCTTAACTGGCCTGACATTGATTACAGGCTAAGAGACTGATTGCTGAAACCTGAGTTTATCCACACCCAGTCCACAATAAATACTTTATCTCCAGATCAATCAAATCTTAGCCAGTTTTTTTTTATATAGCAGTCAAAGGAATAGAAGGATGGGTTGAGCAACAGGCACAATCATATTTAGACTTGTTTGGTAGAATCAGATAAGATTTCAGATTAATTGAAAGTGAACGAAAGATGCCCTATATTGAGTCTAGCTCAGTACTGCTTACGCTAGAAATAGCTCTGTGTAGATTCACAATCTACAACGTATTTAATGTGTATTTATGTTTATTGCTTTTAATAAAATACATACTGAAACATGTAACCAGCTAAAAATTGAATCAAGGAACACACATTGCCGTATTTTTAAATATTTGAGCTAGAAAACATCTTTTGTTGTAGAATTTAAGGGGCAATACACCAATCTGAAATAACCACTTCTTAAGATGGGTTGTTCTTTTCATACTTTCACACTATTCATTTTGCAGTGCCATTAATTATGAGTAAATCATACCCTTGCTTGTTTTGATTTTAAGTTCAGTTAACTGGAAACATTGTACTCTACATTTAACTGTGAAACATCTTTTTCCCCACTTTTTTGCTTTGCATCACCTCACTTCTTATCTTTTTCTTACTTCTTTACTCTTCTCTCTATACTCAGGATACCACTCGGGATACCACTTCATGTATCTAACAAAATGCTGTATGATAGCTCATGCCATATTATCTTTCTTAAATAAATCTGAGCTATAAGTTCAGATTGGAAGTTATTCCTTTAGCATAGGTAACTTCTGATTTTAATTAATCAAAGATTATGGTTTGTAATGGCCTCTGTGAATATGAATTTCCTGGAATAAACAAGACATAGTCCTAGAAACCAAGCTACTCTATCAGGGTAGTCTGTTTCATGTAATAATGAATACTTTCCATGGATGTAGTACAATCCTATGCCTGGCTGCTTAGAAATCAAGCTAAATTCAGTGGAACAAAAGTTCAGATTGCATCTTTTGGGATACATACATAAGCTGTGGAGGCCTGCATAGAAGAGACAAAGAGAAAGAAGACCTTCTTTCTCTTTGTCTCTTGTTCATGGTGGAATAACCATATTACAAATTTCCAGATCATTCAAATATAAGAAACTGAGATCTGTACAAATCATACTTCATTCAGAATGTGGATATTAAATCAACATTAAATTTTAGTTTGATGTGCTGGTTTGTTAACCAGTTCAGTTAAAGACAAACTACAGTTGTCTTCTAACTGAACTACAGCCTTAGTGCAGTTAGTGCACATAACACTAAACATGTTTTAGTATTACACAAGCAAATGTCACCAAATATGACAGTGATTTCTTTCTATGAAGTTGCACCTGCAGATTTGTCAGGTCCCATGATTCATAGTCTTCATCAGTGCATTCTTGGGAAAAAGATGGACGGAAATCTACCTTCACTAGCTCCCAGTCTGACTGATAGCTGATGTGTCCAAACACTCTACAGAGAGAAAATCCAAATGAGATCCCAGTTAAAAAATAAGGAATAGCTTCTGTTATGGCTATCTGTGGTAAATACAGGTAGTCCTCACTCACCGACTACAATTGGGACCAGCAACTCCATCGCTAAGTGACATGGTCATAAAGTGAACCATGCCAACTTACAACATCAGTTCTGGCTGCAGTCATTAAGCATGATGTCATGTGACTATGACTTGTGACTTCCTGCCAGCTTTCCCATTGACTTTGCTTGTTGGAAGCCAGCTGAGAAAGTCACAAATGGTGAACTTGTGACCGTGGGATGCTGCAATCATCATAAATGTGCACCAGTTGCCAAATGCCCAAATTATGATCATGTGACTGCAGGGATGCTGCAATGGCCACAACTTCAGGGATCACTCGTAAATGTTCTTTTTCAGTACTGTCGTGACTTTGAACGGTCACTGAACAAGCGGTCAGTAAGCGAGGACTACCTGTATGTTATATTTTCAAACTATTTTCATAATCACACTGTTCTATACCATACTTTATATATTAGCAGTTAACTGACCCTGCAGATCTACGTCTCGATACTTAAGGATAACAGAATTAAAGAAGAGCCTATAGTAATCAACAATGGAGGATAGATGGTGGTCAAGGATTTTGCTTTCTTGAACATTTATGATCACTTGCCTATCTTTGGGGGAACTTCTGACTTCCCAGCAAAGTTTGGCTTACACATGCTTAGCTTTGAAATAGCATACGTTTAGCCAGGCATCTAATTATCTACTATCTATATATCTAAGTCATTCCTTCTACTCCTACTGAATGTTTCTTGTCATAAGTACTCTCCCATTTACTGTATTTTTCCGTTAATAAGACGCCCCCATGTACAAGACAACCCCCACTTTTCCAACCCAAAATTTAAAAATCAATATTTTAAAGATAGTGCAGAACACATTTTTATTTAGTGATTAGGTAACATTTACCTGATACACTCGGCGGGAGGAGGTCCAAACCGTCTCTCTGCAGCTTTATTTCCATGCTCTTTTGGATAACTGATTACATTCAATCACGATTGAAACTGCCGATAGCTTGTCTCTGCAAACAGACTTCCTCCAGTTGGTTTGTTCAGCATCAGCTGACGTCAGTTACATAAGGCTCGTGATTGGAGGAAGTCTGTTTGCAGAGTCAGTATGGGCAGTTTCACTCGTGATTGGAAGCTCGTGATTGGAGGAAGCTTGTTTGCAGAGTCAAGCTATTTCACTCATAATTGGAGGCTAGCAATAGGAGGAAGCCTGTTTGCAGACACAAAGTATGGGCAGTTTTGCAACCGCACGGTTCTCTCCTCAGCTTACTTCCTTGCATAAGACACCTTCAATTTTTAGCGTAAGGATTTTAGAAAAAAGTATCATCTTATAGTTGGAAAAATACGGTAATTGTCATCAATTAAATTGGGTTTCATTTCATTTAAACACCCCTAACAAAAAGTGATAAGCTTGGATGTGTTCCTAAAACATGGGCAATTGTTTAACTTAATGTAATGAAACACTTTTAATTGCTGACATTTAAACTTTGTCCATGTACCTGGTGGGTTGGTGAAATAAATAGTACTTACGTCATGACTAATGTCTCATCCCCAGGTTCACTAAGTAGGCCATCCACATACACTGAGATACTTGTGAAATTATGAGTGCTCCAAGTTTGACCTTCATCTACACTGAATCTGTAAAGGAAGCAATAAAATAATCATTACCATTTATTTAAATAATTTAATTATCTTATACAATTCACAAAGTCCAAAGTAGTTAAACTCCAAATATTCTAAAGCTAACCACTGCAGATAATTCTTGATCTACAACCATTCATTCAGCAACTGTTTGAGGTTACAATGGCACTGTTTGAATGGTGGTTATGATCGGTCCTTGGGTTTCCGGCCATCCCAGCACCCCCGTGGTCACGTGATTGTAATCTGGGTGCTTGGCAACTCATTTGCACTTACAACTGGTTGCCAAGTGCCCCGCAATCACATGATTGCCATTTGCAACCTTTCCTGTTTCTGGGGTAAGTCTCCCCTACCCGTGCACCCTCCCCCAGACCCTGTGTGCTTGTGCTGCGCTGGTCACTCACACCCCCTGGGCACACTTCCCAACTCTCGCCGCACCTTCCTTGCACCCTCGAGCACCCCCTCACACCCTCCCCAACCTGTACTGCAGCCTTCCTGAGCTGCACGGAGTCTCTCGTACACCCTCTCTGACCCACATGGTACTTCTCACACACACCCTTGCACCCTCACATGCCCTCCCCAACCCACGCTGCACCTCTCATGCACTCCCTCACACCCTTGTGTACCCTCTCTGACTTTGGAAAAAAAATTGATTTTTTTGATTAAGGTTAAAATACATATGTTATTATTTCTAGTAGCCCTAAGTGGACTTTTGTTGATTAGGATTGAAAGATGAGTTTTTACAATTTGATTATTGATAAGAGATGAGATATGGGAAGAAGAAAATTTTTTTATGAAATACTAGAGAAGGTATTAAATTACTGAAACTGTTTATGCTTGTCTGGAGGGAGGTGGCAGTCATCTTTTATATATTTTCCTTTTCCTTTTGTTTTCTCTCTATCTCTTTGCACTTCTCTTTTTTCTTTCTTTACTCTTTATAATTTTCTTAGTTTGTATTAGTTTTTTATCCTTGTATTTGAAAACTCTAATAAAAATTATTATTAAAAAAAGAGGACTAAGCGACAAGGTTTTAAGCGTTTGTTTATAGATAAGAGATGGGACATGGGAAAAAGAGATCGTTCGTTGTATTTTAAGAGAAGGTGAAAAGTTACTAAAATTGTTTATACTTATTTCTCTTAGTTTGTATTAGTTTTTATCTTTTCAATTGTAATGCTCAATAAAATTATTATTAATAATCATATTTATAACATTTGATCATGAGATCACTATAGTGCTCTGTTTGACAGTAATCGGGTAGATCACAATGCAAGTAACATTTGAAAGTCAGAATCAAAATAATTATCAAATTATTATCTTGTGCTGCATGTAACTTGCGTATTAGCCAACTAGATGCCAATGCCAATGGGAAACCCTCTTCTAAACATTTTAGAAGAGAAGTATACTGAATGTTTCCAGATAGGACAGCTGCTGGTGCTACTATTCATAAACTATCTGCAGCTATCCTTTTCTACTCAATGGATTGCATGTAGAAGACCAAAGTAGTGGAAAACCCAGATGATTATTAATGGAAAACATCACTGTCAGGAACACCAAGAAGATTCCATGAATAGGCCAGGGCGCTAGAAAATAATAGCTTCACTTGACATCATCTTAACTTTTTAAGGAGGTAGCGTAACATTTTATGATTAACAGCTACAGAGAGCTTTATATGCAACTAATTTATTTAATCTCCTTTTAAAGACATCCAAGTAGATGGCTATTCATAGGTGTCTGCAGGGGGGAGAATGACCTCCTTATCTATATTTTGTATCCTGATTTCTGTGGACAAGTGTGTTTATTACACATATGAATATAAGTAGCAAATGTGGAGGAAATATTAAATTAGTAAAGAACTCCCTTAAAGAAAAAAAAGACTCATTTCAGTTGGAATATTTTTAGTACTGAAAACATGGTAGACTAAAGAAAGTTTTTACTGTAGAATTACTTGAGTATTTTCAGAGGAATAGATGTATCTTTGATGGCCACAATCACACCACCATGATCCAGATACAGGATATGATGCTCTTCTTCAAAAACCTAAAAGCCAGGAAAAGAAAAAGAACAACAAAGTAATTAGGTTTTCAGAAAAAAACATATTACCATATTGTTGCTCCAAGGCTAATACTGGGAGGGGGATTTCGTTGGAAGAGAGGGGCAAAGCACTGAAGTCTGGGAAAACTGAAGGATGGAGTGACAATAGAATCTTAGGAGTGGGGAAATGATATCCTTTTCATGAAAATTTCAACATAAAATATTTCAGGTCTCGAAAACGGTAAGAGACACAGCACTGATGATGGGAACGTATGTAAAACTGAAAGAGATAATATGATATAGGAATCCCAAGTGATAATGTGAGGGTATGGAAAGAACAGTACATTCATTTAAAACATCATTCAAGGAAGAAATAAGTAGTACCATAATTAAAAAAATAATGGATCACCATGCTTTCCCAAGACTATAGCCTTCTGCATATTTACTGAATGTGAAAGGAATTAATTTTGTGTAAATATGCTTAGATCTAGATTGCAATTGACTAAATGTTTAAAAAATGATTTTGTCATCATGCCTCCAAGAAAAAATCTCAGTACTAATGGCTGTAAAATACAATGATAAAAAATATGATGTCCTTAATCTAGTTGTTCATGGATACAAAACCAGATTCTGTTGGGCACAGAGTTGTGGCAAGATGATTGCTAATATACAATAATCCACTCATTCTTTCTACCTTTTAGAATTGATTTGGGCTACCATTAAGGACCAAGCTACTCATAATGAATAGCAAGCTGCTGGGCCATGTTAGGATTCACACATAATAACCTTCATTCAGCCTGGACTATTTGTTGAAAAGCTTGTTTCTCTCTATATTTTCTTTTCACTGAATCACAGCATGCTTATGGATTGTGAGATTCTATTACTTAATAACATTTGTATATAAAAAGATGTAGAATGAACCAAATCCATCACACTGGGTTCATATACAAATTATTCTCTTCATTCCCATACCTGTCTCCATGTTTTGCCACAGTCAGATGTTATATACATTTCTTCCTTATATTCCACAAGCTGGGCACCCAGATTTCCTGAGAATAAAAGTATAATAAGGGTTATTAAACTATTGCAAATGGTTACTGTAGTTAGTTCTGAAACAACCTCCCATTCTCCACCCCACCCTTATGGCTGGAAAATCCCTTGCTGGCTGGGGAATTCTGGGAGTTGAAGTCCACACATCTTAAAGTTGTCAAAGTTGAGAAACACTGCTTTAGACTTCCCATCCAGCAGCTTCCAGAATTACGGAAACTGAAGCTCCACATACCTGGAGGCCACCAAGTTGGAGAAGACTATCTTAAAGCTACAATCAGCCCAAGTATAACCCTCACCAAAGAATGATGTGGGATTTGTTCCTTTCTCAGTGGCACTGATGACCACTAGCCACTACTAACAGAATTACATATCAACGTTTTTATTTTATGGTATTATCTATTAGCCTTGCCTCCCATTTTTATCCAGGAATTTATAAGCAGGGTACATAAAGGTATTCCACTTTATGCTAACAACAATACAATAATCCTACATAAATTAAATTGAAAGATGGCTACTTGTTCACAGCAGTATGTGAACTTCACGGCTAGGTAGTGAGTTAACCCAAGTTCAGGGGTGTATTTGCAACACTTCATTGACTTAGGGGACTTTTATATCATGTTCTCTCATAGCATCTCACATTGCCCACTTCAGTTTGAAGTAATGGAGTATCTCCATCACCTACTACATGAATTTTTTTTACTGCATTTGCAATTTTCTCTCTTCAAAGTCTTTTTTAAAGATATATTTCAATTGAAACTAGGCACAATGCAGAATTCCAGAAATGCAGTAGAGAGGCTGCCAGAATTAGCCATATTAAATTAAAACACCATCCTCCAAATAATTGCATAGCAATCATTTGTTTCCTAATAAAAACATAAAACTATTGGAAAGACACCTAGCCCAGATGAGAAGGGAAAATCAGTTCCAGAGCAGAGATGGTTTCCATTTGTTTCATGAATATTTTTGGAGTGAGATTATAGCACTTCTGTTATCCTAGAAAAATTACAGTAGATCTTCTTCCTTTTCCCCATAATCTCAGCTTCTAAACAAGAGCTTAAATATTATTTCCAGAGGGACAGCTGTGTTTGCAAAATAAAGAGTTTATTTAAGCACTAATAAATCCATGATCACATATTGTTTTGCAAATCAGAGAGTCCGCTTCATTATTTCCAGTCCCTCAAGCACTACAAGCTTCTGTTTTGTTTTATCACCCTTCTCCCAAACTTGTAATAACTATGTTGTTTTAAACGCCATCCCTTTAGAGAATTTGATAACCAAAGGCAAGGTAAAAATGCTATCTTAAAATATCCCTGGATGATTGTACAGTTCTCTCAGTGGAGGATTACACACACACACATACACGCATCTCAACTCAAATGTAAGCCCTGTCCAGTTCAATGAGACTAAACTCCCAGGTAAATATGTATCAGACTGCAGTGTTAAAAATCTAAAAAGTCAAATATAACACACACAATTAGCCCTATGAGAAGTTAAGCTTTTAACGAGCTCTTTCTTCTAGATTGAGCTGTAAACAGTGGTTGAAAACAGCCGATAGAACTCAGTCTAGCAATTGCTTAAATGAGAAACTGCATAGAGTATAAGGTTCCATATTTTGTGTATCTGTATATGTCTCTCTCTGACATTCCCTAAATTGAAGAATGGAGTTCATTGGCTAATTAGTTTGCTTCTAACGCTACATTCTTTCCTGCTGGATTCTCCATTATGGCTGGAAATGGTTTGATAAAAGTTATTTGGGCCTCACATAAGCACAGCACTTTTCTGCTTTCATTAAAGCAGCTGCAACTTTTTTCAAGCTTAGGTCTAACCGCTTTAATGAACCACAGTGAAGTGCTGCACTTGTGCGATGCCCAAAGCACTTCTGAAGAATTTTTGAAGCATGCCCAATCTGCTCTCCACAGTAACTTGGCTTTACTGTTGTTTTTCCTAATGCTGCCTGTCTTTTGGATTTTTTTTTCCTTTTAAATTTCTATGGTCCTTTCTTAGCATTTTTTATTCAAGCAGGAAGTGTTTCATCAAGACTTCTCCTCTTAGTTTATAGCTTTGAGGTTCATTTCACAGAGGTGCAGAAACTGGGATTAAATTTCAGTTCCTACAGATGATATGTGAATTGCATGTTAGAATGTAGATTGTATGCTAGTGCTTTACTTTGGGGGGCATTGTTGATAGCCTTGCATGCATTGCTGGAACTTTATCCTATAGGCATGTGATGGTCATGTATCCAAACTCGAGGTCTTACTTTAAGAACAGGCACATCAAGCCACTACATTGTCTATTTTTTTACTTCAGACTTTGAATCAGCTCTGTAAAGACCCTTGTTTGGCTTCCACCCCAGACATTTCCTTACTGCAGCTATCAAGGATTCAATCTATTACACAAGCCATCCAGGATGTTCCCAAATTCTATGCTTACATGGTCTGCCACATTATGGGTACCCAAGAAAATAAGCCTTCACCAGACTTGCAATTGTGCTGTGGTACATACCAGGACTTATTCTGTGACTTTTTCTGTCATCAGAATCTTCATCCAACAATACCAACTAACACTATCAGTAATTACTAGCTCTGTTTATTCTGGTATGGTTCTATGTGTACCTCTAAGGTACACAGACCAAAACTACTCTGGAACCTGCCTGTGAGTTCTTTGGATTCACTGTTTATGTTCCTACTGCTTCTGCCATCTGTTCCTTTGTCAGTTTCATATTTGCATGTACTGCTCCAGTCATTAGTTGAAAAATCTGCTTCAGATTATTTTTCTGATCTGATTTTTTCTCTCAGTATCTGAAACAATTTCTTCACTCCCCCTTCTTCTCCAGACCCAGCAGGAAAAGATCCAACTCCCTTCTTATATCCTTCACAACAGCAATTACTCTGAATGGCTAAAAGCCTGCTGGACTCAGAGGCAGATGGACAGAGGTCTTCTCTATGCACTCTATCTCTGGTGGGGTTTCATCTGTTTCATCTGTTTTTATTTTTTTACTCCTGTTCCACGTGCAGGAGAGTAAAATGAAGCACAAAGGAGCAGAGAGAGTTCTGACACCAACTGAATCACTGCAGATTACTTTCAATATTTTGTTTAAATGACAGCTAGTCAACCTATGTAAAGAAATTAGGTTACTGGAAAAGATGAGTAGATATTGTAGAAGGGGAGCCATGTTAGCCTAGGGTGGCAAAAAAAGAAGTTTCGTAGCATCTTTTCTAACAATTTTTTAAACAAGACATAAGCTTCCATGAGCTGCAGCTCGCTTCATCAGATGCAGAGTGGCTAGACTGATGTAGGATTTAAAGTGGGGTAAGGTGGAAGGGGAAAAGGGAGAGAAAGAGAGGTTTGCTATGCAGATGCAGTTTACCTGTGAGATAAATTGCAAGTTCCACAACAATTAACTATGTGTTAATTATGTGTTAAAAACCTATTGTGCTTGTTGAGACCTGAGACTGCCTGAAACCTTTTGATGTTTGTGAGTTCAACTATTTCTCGCTCAGTGGTGCTGTTTTCTAAAATAGTCACTTTGATATCTGCTATGGAGTGTTCTGGGAGGTTGAAATGCTCTGATATTACTTTGTCCTTGTTTTGAGTCCTAATGTCAAACTTGTGACCATTAATTCTTCTGCACAAAGTTTGTTCCATTTGTTGGATGTACAATTCAGAGGAGCATTGCTGGCAGATGATGGCATGTATCACATTAGAAGAAGGTCATGTGAAGGTGCCTCTAATTTTGTGTGTGTACTTGTTGAGGCCTGTGATGGTGCTCTTGGTATAGATGTGAGAGCAAAGTAGACATCTGGGTTTGTTGCAGGGTCTGATTCCCATGTTGACATCACTATTCTGTTGTTTCTTGTTGCTTGTGAGAATCTGCTTCAGGTTGGGTGGCTGTCTGTATGTAAGTACAGGTCTGCCACCCAGTGCTTGAAAAAGTACAGCGTTATTTCTGCAGTATGGGCTGTAGCTTATTAATGTGTTTGAGTTGTGAGTTGTAGGTGACAATCAGTTGTCTGTTTCTGTGGTCTATCTTTTAATAGATTCTCCCTGGGAATTGATCTAGCTCTATTGATTTGTCTATTGATGTTCTTGGGTGGGTAGTTCAGTCTCCTGAATGTTGGTTTAATTCCATCAGTTGAGCATCTCTCTCAAATGAGCCAGAACAAATGCAGTTGTAGTATACAGCCTGGCTGTAGATGATAGATTTGGTACTGTGTTCTGGGTAGAAGATAGAAGCATATAGGTATGCATGGCAATTTGAACATTTCCTGTATACTGTAGCATTTATGTGTCAATTGTTTAGTTTTATGGTGCATCAAGGAAGTGGACTTGTTCTGAAGACAGGTCTAGGCAGTTCTGATTTGTGCTGATTGCCAGTTGATGTTCCACTAGGTTTTTTATTCAGCTCTTAAAAGCATGTTTTCCCCTTATACACAGTCATCCACACTTTTCATTCTTATTCAAGGTCTATGTGAAATAATGTGGACTTGAAAGGGTTGTTAGAGCTGCACGTAGGGAACTCTATGTCAGATGCAAGGTGACGTAATTGGTTTCAATGTCTCTTCTGTAGAACCAGTAGTATTTCTAAGGTTACATGAAACAATACAGTGTTCTACAGTGAGAGAATGTGTGTATCTAATATGAAGGCTTCAATGCTAGAATTAATCTGTTAGTTTAAAATGTAGTCTGCAGCTTACAAACTGCACATATCCTTGTGCTGAGCCTGCATTTAACATGAGCTTCTTGCGAGCCCTTTATGTTACCATGCTTCCAAGCAGACACGCAAACAACACAGTTTATAACTTGCTTTGCTGACAAGGAGCAGAGAGTAGGGATTACGTTAGTTTAGATACTCATAGTTCTCACAGGAGAAGGAGGGTGCAGATATGAAGTAAATCTTTAAAAAAACACCCTAGAGGATTCTGAGATGAATAAATTTGGAAATGGAGGTGAGGGCTGGCAGCTAAAATGCCTAATATGGTCCTAGCTCTGGTGGCTGCTGAAGATACACTGTTGGTTTAATTCCAGAGAAAGGATAGCCAGTGAACTTAAAATGGATTGGGCAGAGGTTGCACAGTTCAGAAAAATATTCTCACTTGTACATTTGAAACACTGTCTTAGCAGGGGAGAAAGGACTTTTTGCATTGGTATACAGAGCAATTAGAAGCTATAACACATATTTGCAAAACTTCTTGATGGTATTTTCAAGACGGAAAAATACTTCCGCTATGTTTTATCAACAGAAAACTGGAATGCTGTTTTACACCATTTCTTTCAATCAAATAACTGTGAACTCCTAAACACACCTTGTGACAATTTTCTAAGACTTTCTGTGATGCCCCAATACCATTCCTCAGCTGCTACTGAATTTTGCTAAGTAAATTAAAATTGGACTCAGTTGTTGAAAGATTGGACAAAAGGGGAGCAAAGAAACAGAAGAAATCAACCTATGAAAAATACTGGATGGGATTCCAGAAAAAAATGCTTTTATTCTGGATAGACCCACTTTTTGCTTTAACTACGTCTACTTCTGTGTTTTCTATCTGCATATGGTTCTGGTACATTTTAGTACATTGACATGTAGCTCATAACAACCTCTCCTCACAAAATGGTGCGCCTGCATGATTTCAATGGAATTTAATCACCTTACATCAATATAATCCAGCATAATGTATTGTGGATCAAAGCACTGACAAGTAATCTCAAAACTAACTATGCTATAGAATACCTTGAGGTATCTTCAAATTTCACTTTGTTCATATTACAGTTATACAGGTAGTCCTGGTTAACGACGATAATTGGGACTGGAATGACATGATCATAAAGCGCAATGTCATGTGATGGCACTCCCTGTTGCCATTGTTAAGTGAGGATTGTGGGTCGTTAAGCAAGTCCCAGGGGGCTTGCAAGCAGGCTGGCAGGCAGGTAAGGCATAGCTTGAGGCGCAAGCATGGTGAGGCCAGCTATTACTGCGGGGGAGGGTGCAAGCAACTTACTGGAGCAACTTGCGACTTTCCCTACCGGCTTCCCCATTGACTTTGCTTGTAAACATTTATCATCATAAATAACATTATGGTGATAGCATTTGGCACAGCGATGCCTATAGAAAGAGGTAAAGGCATAACAAGAGAGGGAAAACTCTTGGTCAGCTTTAGCTACTTATTTCCCTCTGTGGATCAGACTTTCACACACAACAGAAATAAGCAGATAAGATGGAACTGAAACCACTAGCTATTAGAGATAGGTAATTTGTGACAGAGAATTGTATTATTATTATACACCTTTTTGACCGAAGAACACCAAAAACAAAGTGTTAAGTTGTCTTTCCTTTTTTACCTGCTCCCATTATGAGTCCTGGTGCTGTATCCTTAGTATGAACCATCCCTGACACATATGGATTGTCCGGCCACCGCAGATGGAGATGAAGGTGGCAATCAGGCTATAAAGTTAACGAAGAAAAAATTTTCTTTTTAGCAGAATAGGAGGATTACCTTTAATTACGGAAACAGCCACACCAAGAGTAAACAACACATAATGACAATATACTGTTACTATTACTGTAATAATGACATTATATTGAAATTTTTACCAGTACATCAGCACAAAATATTACTACAGAGGTACACCATCAGTATGTGAAAATACTGCATGATTTCTTAATGCAATACATACAGGTAGTCCTCGCTTACCAACTGCCTTGTTTAGCAACCATTTGAAGTTATGATGGCATAAAAAAAAAAACAGCTTTGTGACCAATCCTTGCATTTACAACTGTTGCAGCATCCCACAGTCAGGTGATCACCATTCAGCTGGTTCACAACTGGCACACATTCATGTAATCACCATCTGCATGCTTCCCAACTGGCTTATAACAAGCAGAGTTAATGGAGAATGTGGAAGTAAAATCGTAAGTTGCAGTCATGTGATGTTTCACTTAACAACTGTGGTGAGTTGCTTAACAACTGAAGCAGAAGTCAGGTCATAAGCCCGTTGCAGTCATGTGATGTTTCACTTAGCAACTGTGGAGCTTAGTGATGGAGTTGCTGGTCCCAAATGTGGTTGCTAAGCGAGGACTACCTGTAATTGTATTCTTTAAAATTATACACATACTTTGTGGGCTTGTATATTCCAAAGGGATATAAATCTGTTTGAAAACTACTTTTGCTGTTTTTAAAATACACCACTTACGAATGCCAAAAGAATAACCATTCCAGACTCTCACAATCACAAAACAGAATTTCTGTGCTTTATAAATGCATTAATTACCTTGATTATTCTAATAGGACCTCATCAAGACCACAGTGTCTCTGATTACATTGCTTTCAGGTATTTAAGGCTTTAATTGTCCTAATGATTCAGGTATTTGGGACTTTAGTTGTATTAACAAAAACCAGGTATTTGGGGCTTTAATTGTATTTTTCCCAAAGAGATGTAAAGGGAAAATACTGACAAGATTAAGCTGAATTAAAGAGAGCCTGTCATATTTAAAATGAGGATTCTGTATAATGCCAAAGAGACTCTTTTGATTTTAAATAAAGTAGATATGTATAACTTTTTCAATATTGTTAATGGTTATAATTGATGAGATCTGATAAGCTTAAAAATACATTTTTCACTTTCCTTGAAATAAATTACAATGATTTTTCTTTTTCTTTTTTTAATTTTTAATTTTTAAAAATTAAATTAATTTAAATTAATTTTTCTTTTAATTTTTATCAATTAATTTGTGTGTGAATTGAATCAAGCTAGATATGTTCCAAGTCCAAGATATATAGTTTAATCACCTACTGAAGTTCCAGTATTGGAAGTGTGAGGCTTAGGCCAGCTCCTTCCACTGCTTCATATCAGCTATCCTTTCATTAACCATTGTCATGGTATCCTGATGTCCCAGTTGGCTTATATACAGTATTGAGATGTGAAATGTAGGTAATGAGCTTTTGTTCGCAAACCAATTGCCAATTGCTGTCCATTAACAACAGTGAAAGTAATCCTCTGGGGTTTGAAATAACTGTTAATATTCTAGACTATGCCTGAGTTTTAATGCTTGACAAGCCTGCTTCCAGTCTTACATCAGACACACATCTGGGAGCACCTATTATACCCCCAAGGAAAGCTGATTAAGTTAATTCATCTCTGTTACTGAATATTTTTGTTTATACTGAAGTTGCCTACAGAAAAGTAGTTCTTCCTTCTTCCTCTTTCTTCTCTTTCCCTACCACTACTACAAGTGAAACCTTTATTTATTCCCAACTGCCCATTAAATTGGAGAGTTCTCTCATCTGTCACAATATTATTGCACAAATGTCATTTTATGTCATCTGCATAATATAATTACCCAAAACTGTTGCACCATGACAATATGCAAATGTCGTGTCATAAATACAAGAATTTCGCCCATTGGTCTGAAATTTACTGCTAAACTAAGGTTTCATTGTATTACTGTATTTCCTACCTTTTTTCAGCCTATGTAGATGGAGTTCATCCTTCATTTTATCAACCAATCCTGTGATTTAGCTTGGGCCAGAAAAGTATAGCTACCTAGTCACCTGGTGAGGTCCAGGGTTAAGTGTGGACTTAAAACTAAGTTTCCATTACCATAAATCGATAATTTGGGTTGCAGCATCTCCACATGCTCCATCCAAAATCTGTTGAGGTCAATTGCCTCTTTTTTCCTCAGTTTCTCTCTTGCAAATGCTAGAAAACTAACAATTCTGTCTATCTTTGGTTATCTTGAACATATGTTGCTTAAATTGCACTAACTGTTGTAGCCACAACTGATGACTTGAACTTAGAAACTGTGAAAGACAACTGCACACAATGTGCAGTATCCCATCTAGTAAAGGCCTTCCTATAGGCCTTAACACTATTGTTGTGTTTGTTATCACACTTATGTCCCTTCTTTCCTTAGGGAACTAAACAGCACATTTTAGCATAATCAAAATCCTATGATGTAACTTGGCATAGTGACCGGCTTTCAGTTATCTAAGGGACTCCAAGATCAAGTGTGGATTTTAATCAGTACTATAATCTACTGCCATTTATCTCAGTATTGATCATGATGAGATTTTGAGTCATTAACAAGTATAATACATGCTCTCTATTAATCAAAGTTTATAAGTAAGTTGAGGATCGAACCCAGAAGTTAATCAACTCCAGAATAATACTTACGTGCAAAAAGTTTCCACATCTAAGAAAATGTAGATGTCCAGGAAAAGAGCTGAACACTGACCTCCTTCCTGGCTGTTATATGTGGTGTGCAATGAATTGTTTCATGGGAGAGCATTAACATCTGAAATACTAAAAAATCTGAATTTGCTAAATGTTTAGTTTGATTAATGCATTAAAATGTTCATTTATTCTATACCCATGATCTCCAAATTCATAGACGATACACCTTACTAAAGCCATACAAAACCACTGCAAACATTAGAGTCATATGAAGTCTATAAAAGGCAAGTAGACACAGTTTTTTGTTGCCATTTTAAGAGCAGGGAGGAAATACTCACTGGTTTGCAGTCAGTTGGTTTACCATTCATATCAGTAGCTGGAGGCATTAGATAATCCCAGTTACGGCCTTTATTGAACGTTATAAGAGTGGTAACTTTTCCATTTATTTTCTGATTGGCCAAAAACACTCCTTTGACACCTTTAACCTATGTTATAAATATAAAATGTGGCCAAGTTAATAAACAACCTTCAAATATCTATTCAACATATTAAGTCTCCTTTGCTACTAACAGAAAAATGAGCATGTCAATAGCTTGAAACTATTTACTTGGCAGTTATCTAGAAGATCTCAACCTTTTGTATTTTAATCACTCTGTCAAAAACTTGGATCTGACCAAGACAGAAACAGAAGGCTCCCTACCATTTTCCCCCTTAAAAGGGCACCTTTCTAACAGAATACCTGTCAACATATGTATTAGTTATGGGAAGCTTTAAGCACATAAACATTGCAAGAATTCTGTTGATCTCATTATAACAACAAGAGCTAACTGGAGCTGAAGCAGCATTTGCTGATGTGGGAGCAATCTTCCCTTATTGCACCTCCTCCTCCAAAATACACCCAAACAAAGAGAGTGATTGTTCCTTTAGTTGTGTTTTGATTCCTAAGCCCTAGCCTTTCAGAGGCTGCTCTAATTCCACACTCCAAGAAATTCTCTGCCTCAGTACCCATATCAAGAACGGGCAGCTCTGCCCACCTTCTCTTTTACAGGCTCTTTCCTGTTTATTGGTATATGTACTGTCGATTGAGGAACGCTGATCTGGATAAAACTTTTTGAAATTCATTTTCATTTGATTGTCCATGCAGTCACAGCCCTTCCCAACCAGAATAAAAACCCCACTTTTCTAAACTAGAAATCTGTTTTCCTTGTATGGGTAAATTACTCTGAAGCTGTGCTGAACATACATTATACCAAATTTTAGATTGTTAACTGCAATGTAAGTAAATCGTGTTGTGGTATACAGCGGCAGACCACTAAGGGGTTAAAAATTTCTCTTCCCAACAGAAAGATAAGGAACAATTTTGAAGGAGGCATCAGTTGGAGGTGTTCAACTCTTGGTTGTTGAAAAGAGATTGATAGGTTCTAGTTAGACATAGTAATTAAGCCATTGGTTAAGTTAATATTTTTAGTCATATTTGTTTAGGTGTGCTTCTTGGTTTTCCAATTTGTGTGCTATTAAACTCTTATCCTATAAATATTGAGATTTCATGTTGAGAGCTAATCCCTTTGAGATCCATGACTGTACAGGGCTAGTCATCTGATTGGCCAAATACAACAAACCTGTCATAAACCAAATTAACTCCCTGTAGAGGTGAAACATCTTCCCATTCCAACAGTTTATCTAAAAAGAAAAGACTATTGCTTCAGACAGATATTCTTGGGCACTCTGAGGTGGCACATCGCTGAGAAAGGGCAGAAGGTGCTAGGGAATGAAAAGAAAGGGATGGGGTCCCTTCTAGAGTCACTTCTAGAGTTTTCTATCTGTGTGTCAAATTCTACTTTGCTGGAGGCCCCTTCAAATGTGAAAGTGTACTTCACACCCCTCTCTTTGAAAGGGAGATAGGCCAACATTTTGATTATGTGCAGTAATTAATGGGCTACATATGTCTAGATTGAGGGTATGTGTGTGTGTGTGTATATATATATATATACATTACATATATATAATGTGTTTGACATGCATGTTGCCCCGTAAGTGGGATTGAACTAGATATTTAGGCAGATATATGTGTACACTGACTAAGAGAATTTGTAGACTGAACAATTTTCTTAACAAGTCATAATATTATGTCTCAGAAAGGGAGTTAATTAATGACAACACAGCCTCAGTTGTCAAAAATATACATAAAACAAAGAAGAATACTTTATCTTTTATTTATTTTTATAATTTATACCCCACATTTCTATCTATAGTACTCAAATAAGTATACTGCCAGGAACATTCCTTTTTAGGAAAACAGGAAAAATGTTTCCAGTTCAAAATATTTAAACCAAAAGTCAAAGAGGCTGAAGAAATTTTAGTATAGTTAGTAAAATAGTGGTTTTAAAAACAAAAGCCATTTACCTCCAAAATATCTATTAATACATTCTCCTCGGGTTGCTTGGTACTCCTGACATTCTCTAATGCAATGGAATAGGAGATGCCCTGTGGGTCAGACTGATAGAGGTTATATGTGTCAATCTGATACCATTCCTGGATAGCTATAAACACCTGGCTCTCATCAGTGCTGATAATCTGCAAATCCTGAAGTGAGAAAAGAAAAAAAATCACCAGATTTATAACCTAGAGCTGCCTAGTGCCAATGAAAATATACCATGATTCCCATCTCCCAAAAGCAACCCAGTATTATTTGGGACAGAAAAAGAATAGTAATAGAGCTTTCTACAATCAGTTTTTCAAGTGCAAGCTTGCAAAAAAAAAATGCTGCTGTATTTAAGAGTTGCTTTAATCAACTGACTCCATAAAGCCACAGCAACTTTTCCAGGTGTATGCAGAAGCTTGAAAAAGGACTCAGCTGCTTTAATGAGTAGCAGACAGGTGAATTTATACAAGGTCTTAAGTACTTCTTTTGAATCATACTCAGAGTATGAACAGCCCAATATGGTAGTGCAACTTTTCACAAACAGTGCCTCAATATGAATTTGATAGTACTGATGCCTGCTCCTTAGGCACTGCTTTAAATATAAATGAATTTTATATACTGTATTGTCGAAGGCTTTCACGGCCGGCATACGATGGCTGGTGTGGGTCTTCCGGGCTGTGTGGCCGTGTTCTTGAAGTTTTGTTTCCTAACGTTTCGCCAGCACCTGTGACCGGCATCTTCAGAGTGCAGGAGCACAGACAGGAGCAGTTCTCTCTGTGCCCACACAGCCCGGAAGACCCACACCAGCCAATTTTATATACTATTTGTTGAATATATAAACAGGAGAGGATTGTGTATGTGTGGCTGGAATGCAAAAATTCAGGTAGATCTTTGAAATACTATCTTGCTTCAGTTTGCAGGACTGCTCAGAGAAATGTCCCCAAATATTACTTTTAAAATGTGGATAACTCAAACATAACTCATGGAGAACATATTACTCCTCAAAAGGAATACTGTATGAGAATATATTCCACATAAGGTCAGCCAGATGTAGGCATCTATTTGCTCATAAGTAGGATTAGAGTGGGATGGGACACATGTAGTACACAAGTTTCACCTCAAACAACCCATATACCTGGTTGTTTACATTTTTGCAAGCTTAGCGTCTTAATGGAAATTTTAGTAGATTCAGCTGGATGCAGTTACCACTCTATCCATGGTTTGGAGTTGCTACAGGCAAAGTTACCATGGTCCAAGGTGTTTATAGTCCTAATTACAGATCCATATGTCACATGTACAAAGATTCCCTTAGGGTTCTTCACGTAACAAGCTAAGCTAATAATGGTTTACTGCAGAGGTGTCAAATACGTGGCCCACAGGTTGCATGTGCCCACAACACTTCTGAGTGTGGCCCGAACCAGATTAAAATGCAGTCGGATAATATTTAAGAAAATAAAATAAAAATACAGCAAAACATAGATAATACTACATTTTAAAACTAAATAATAATAAATTTAGTCACCAATCACCAAAACTCTAAGTTTGCAACTTGTGAGGAGTACTGCATCAGCTTGCGGCCTGAGCTTCATTGCAGCAGCAAAGATTGCTTGGCACTGCCCAGTACGAGCTGAGCAGGAGCACCACATGACCGGAGCTCCCTCTCAGTCCAAGCTTCAGCGGCACCAAGAGACCTTGCTCTGCAAGCTCAGGCAGTGAGCTGGTGCCATTCCCTGGACAACAGGCAGCCAGGCAGGCAGGCAGCCAGCCTTGCACTGATAGCCAACCTGCTCCAGAGCCCAGAACCTCAAGACTTCTGAGATGCCAAAAGCAGCGGAACTCTGCAAATGGGGTTTTCATGGGTACCTGCATTTTCCTTCTCCATCTGCAGCCCTATCTGCGTGCAGGCAAATACCTACCTAAGAGTTAGCACATAAGGACATTCTACTATAGGTTATACTTGAGTGTTTAAGTGCAAAAAAACTAAAATACAAGTATGGAAGCTATAGAATCTCTTGAAGAATGAAGTACAAATAGAAATATATTATCCAATAAGCAATTTCAGTAAATCTCTTCTAGTCTAGCAAAGAAGGAAGAATAATGGATTTTGTGAGTAATTACCTTGGCTAACGCATACTTTGGCAATTTCATCTGTATAAATTCATTCCGACGATAAGAAACATAGTATTTTGTTTGGTTTCCTGAGGACACCTGTGAAAAAAAGGGGGGAGTACAATTTTATCTGTGAAAAAAAAAGAAACGGTAAACAATGTATATAATAATGATTTATTTAATTAGAAACACGGGATATAGAGAGAGCGCACATACAAGGGGCCCTAAAACAATCTTGGTCATCTGCAGAAATTCTTCTTGAGTGAGGGTGGGAAAATAATACCTATCAGGCTATGGGTAGTTAACCTTTTAACAGCTTGGGTGGTTGTACTTTAAACATTATTTTGGGAGTGGGAGTGGGAGGACTCATTTGTTAACTTGGGGGGGCAAAAATGAAGTCTACGGACAGAAAGTTATCAAGCCTGCGCTAGACAGACTTGAAAGTAGTTATCTAGTTAATCAACTGTCTGATATAATCAAAGCTGTTTGTCTTTTGGTATGAAATTTAACATGAATAATTTACCTGCAAACTAAGGATGATGCAAATTATGCAGCAGCAGAGACAGTTCACTGTTGAAGTTGTCAGTTTCATTTTTAGAAGCCACATGGAAAAATGAAACCAACATCAACAATTAGCTTTTAAATGGCAACTCAGGCTAGAAAATAACTTGTCAATTGGAGATTAAGAGAGACTTCAACATTTTATTATGATAATTTTTGTAGTACATCCCTGAGGCTGCATTTATTTCCTTGTTAATAAGCTTCATAAGTAAATAAGCATAGATTTGTACTGAAAGTTATATAATCATTAACAAAATAAATTAACAATCTTACCTGAAGGAATATGTAGTCATCCTGAACTGTCAAGGAATTCTTGTCAATCCTACCATTGAAGGGAGATTTCAGTGATTTTTCAGAACAATTCTGAAACTGGCAGGCCATGTAGTAAAAACCTAAAAAAATAGATAAATGCAAATAAAGAAACACTAACATAATTTGCCAGAATAAAAATTGAATGATTCAGAAAGTTTACTCTTATCACCTAGTGTTGATCTGTTTTCCTTGACAGCTGCTTTTACTCTCTCAAAAAGAGGAATTCCGTATTTGTTGCTGCTAAGCCAAAATGAGCTACTCCTGGGAGAAGGGATGAGGTTTAAAAAGTTTGATTCCAGTTGCAAAGGAAATTGCAGGAGAAGTGAAAGAACGGTTGGGGGAGGGAGGGGCAGGGCTACAGAGCTTAGTGTTTCAGGTGGGTCTGCCTTGCCCTAAAAGCCATCCACACAGGGAAGATTTTTGAGAAGGTATTTTTGTCAAAACCTAGACACATGTAATTCACAAATACCAGAATTTCACATAATTTATAATCTTCTAATAGGACTATGTGAATTTTAGGGTATTTAATGGAGTACTAAAGTATTCAGTAAAATCCCTTAATGGACTTGTCAGTTCTCACTTGTGGGTTGCAATGCAAAACTCTAGATTTGTGGAACAAAATGCTACAAAATTAGAACAAAACATTGAGAACAACTTTGAAGAGACAGGGCCATGTTCAATTTGGGATATTCAGTGGATATGTCAGTTACAGAACAGATATGTCAAATACACTTGTTGGGAACAGCACAAAATTTTAGAATAGGATGTGAGCCAGTATAACTTAGAAACTAAAATTGAAAAGTCAAATTTGCTTGCAGCCCAGATGAATAACTTTTTAAAATGTAAAATAGATTTTAAACCAGAATTTAAAACATTTTTCATATGTTTTCTTAAAATGAATATAGCTCAAATTATGAACATAACAGCAAATAATAACCATAATCAAATGTTATTTCTAATTCTATTCTACTTGCTAATGTGGAGGTGACAGATAAGAATAAATCTGGTAGTTGATCTTTCTCTAAAAATGTAAAGACAAGGAAGTTAATGAACATCGAATATAAAGTGAGAGAGTAGAATTGGGCACTAAGGGCAAGTTTGGATATAAATGTTATGCATGGGGGAAGGAATAAAAAATGAAACAAAAAGTGAGTAAGAGACTTCCCTGCAAATCCTGATAATTTGAGAAGTAAGCTTCTGGTCCTGAAGCATACCTTCTATTGGCTGATCAGGGCATTGATAAAAAATAGAAAGAGAGACTCCATTTGGAAATATATTAATGAAGCTCTGATGTTTGTGGCTAAGCCAGTGACAAAATATAAACAGTGTGGCAAAAAAATGCAAGGCTTAGATACCTGAAGGAAGCATCATTATGCAAATTATTGCTGCTTGGGAAATGCTGATGGAAATGCTTCTGAACATGAGAATCTTCAGTTTAAAAAATCTGACAGTAATCATTATTTTCCTTAAAGATTGTCTTTTCTGTCATAGTTTTGGATGGACTTCTCAAGATACTACTGAAATTCTCATAACTAAAAAAATATGTGTAGTTAGGCTTGCATTGTTAATTTAATGCAGCTCATCAAAAATAGGGAGATATTAATTTTACTGTTCCATTTTTATTAGTGCACACACTTAGTAATACTAAATAAGCAATTCACATGCTACAGTATATTCACAATGATTCCATCATATCAACAGAAGAAAGGAATATCTTTCTCATAAAACAAAGATGTTTAATAATGAATAAATCATTATTTAAATCTATCTGATTTAAATACAATCTTCTATATACCGTATTTTTCCGACAATAAGACGCCCCCATGTACAAGACGACCCCCACTTTTCTAGCCCAAAATTTAAAAATCAGTATTTTAAAGATAGTGCAGAACACATTTTTATT